GATATTGCTAAAATATACTCACTCACTCAAGAGATTATAAGCAGACATTTGGTCACAACATGATGTATTTTTTGTTGATCATAATACATGTAGCATTTAATATGCCTAGAATATATATCAGTTTTGCCCTGTGTAAAAATATAGTCGTTCCAACTAATATAGTAAGAAAGAGAGAGAGCACCATGTCATGTGCAACAAGTGAAATATAAAAATAGTTAATTTGGGGCCTTACCATGAATCTACTTACTTCACACATCAGAAACTTAGCCCAAATTGAGGTTGCAGGCAAATGATTTTATCAGACTGGATGTTTTGCCTAAAGGCTGGAATAGTATTTTCTTTCACTAACTTACTTAACTAATTTACAGTTTCAGCAAGACGTGAGATTTCAGTCAGAAATAAGGTCAAGGTTTTGGATGCAATTCTCCCGTCTGTCAGTTGAAACTAGGAGTCAATAGAAAACACACACTGTCTGAGGAGGATAGATAGGGTTTAAGAAATGTTATGTGTACAGCCCGTATTTGTGCAAAGCTTTAGTTAACGATTGTAACTTGTTTCATTGTAAAGGAGTCATGGTAAGCATAAATCTCAGTATTTTGATGAACAGCAGCATATTATCCATGTTTTGGCCATATGGAGAATGTTTTACAGTTTACAAATGAAATGATATCAGTAATGTTATGTTTTCTTACAGAAAACGATATAATTATATCCGACATGATGAAATAAAATGGAATTCATTTTGTAGATTCGTATCGTATTAATACTCCTTCGCCCATCTGTTGTTGATTTGAATATTGGGTGTAGACTAGTTATTGTTATTTCATGTTGTAAATATTACAGAATTGTTTGTTTTGTTGCCATAGGAAGTGCTGTTTATTCACTTGTGAAGAAGATATTTGTGTTATGATTAACAACACTGCAATTCAACAACTTACTATTATATTATTCAACATATTTGTAAAAAACACTGAAAATGGAGACTGAAAGCTGACTGACTGAGTTTGGTTTTACGCCGCTTTTAGCAATATTCCAGCAACATCACGGCGGGGGACACCAGAAATGGGCTTCACACATTGTACCCATGTGGGGATTCGAACCCGGGTCTTTGGCATGACGAACCAAGACTGAAAGCTGAGAAGACAATGATAATAATTCTTAGAATTCTACCTTTAGCACTTGATTGCCAATTTTCCTTAAACGTGTTTCTGATAGTTTTGCTTGAATAAAAAAAGATTAAAAAATCCGTATGTTGTGCTGTCTTACTCCCTGGTGGTCATCCCAAGAATTTTCCGAAGGTGTTGTCTCCCCTGACTTCATACATTTTCCCATGGATACTCTGTGTGAAACGTACTCTGGGATTCCGGGGAGCGAGCCATAGGAATTGCCCATCAACGAGCAAGTTACCCTGCCATTGCTACAAACTTCCATTGCAGCCGTTCAACAGTCTACAACTAATGGCACGTTTTAGACAGACAGGTACGACGTCAGCCAGCCCTCGCAGAGGCCGACACCGAGTGACCACGCCCATCGAAGACCGTCGTAACCACATTATTCATCTCGACTGCTTCGCTACTGCACCATCTACGGCAGCGACGGCACTGGGACATCGCATCAGCAGGCTGACAGTGTACAGACATCTACGGGCCTAGTGTCCAAGCCTATCGACCCTACCGTGGAATTGTTCTGAGGCCGCAACATCGACGTGACAGACTGACGTGGGCACAAAGTGTTCAACGTTGGCAACTACGAAACTGGCAGCGAGTCTTCTTTTCGGATAAAAGCAGGTTTTCCCTGATGTATGCTGATGGTAGAGCACGAGTGTACTGGCAAGAAGGGGAACGGCTAAGGTCAAACTGTATTCAAGAATATCAGGGTGTTTGCAAACGTTGTAAACTTTCTTTTGGACATCAGCATAGAGAAATAGACCTGCGCTTAGTTGTGACAGTACTCGGTAATGTCTCTTACTGCTCGATTTCATGTCTTGGTGGACTATGACCTAATGCTTGGAAGTGATAACGCTTCCCCTATCTGAACTGCCCTATAGCTGGAATATTGCTGATGGCAGGGTTAAACAACAAACAAACAAAATCCATTACCTGAACATTTGACATCACTTCCAGTTAATGGTACTCCAGATAACGTCATGAATTTTAGTTTTAGTCGTGGTCAGGGGGGATTCTTCATTGTGATACATCTGACATCCAGAGCATGTAGTTCTCACACCCTTGAGGTTGTAGCCATAAGGAATTCACTCTTTCAAGCAAGATTGAATAGTTTTGCTTTGTCCATGGGTTCGAACCACTGACAAATCCTATTTCGTAGTTATTCGCCGATTTGGTATATCCTCCAGTTCAAACGAGCATCACAGGCTGGTAAGAATATGTTCTCCTTGCTTGGTGAGGACTGATGCAAGTGCTGTGATACATACATATAGTTTCAAGCTGAAAATGCAAGTCGTTCTAAGGCCTGTTAAAAATTCCACAATCTAAGGGGTTGGTTATGGATCCACTGGCAGTTCCCGATTCTCAAATGCAAGAATTGCGCTCAGTTGTAGTGGGAGAGAACACGTGTCAAAGCTCTTGGTGATTGCGTAATAGCTGAGGAAACTCCCGCTGACGAGAGATGTCGTTGGATAGTTTCCATTAGTGGAGGTCGAGCTGTTGTGAATTGCAATTGAATGTGTTTGACTGGTGGTTTTCTAAGTGTTGGCCAATGAGTAAGACATAATGGTAGATGGATCAGTAGAGACAGTAGGTCTGGAAACCATGATCATGGTGGCCAGGTACTGTGTCATGATGGTTCCTGGTCTTGGCTAGGACTTGAGGGACAAGAGCCATTTTTGGAAACACATAGGCACTCATTCCCTCCCAAAATGTTGATGAGGCATCCACTACATAAGTGTGAGGATCTGAACCCAGTCTTATACGGGTCGGCAACAGGTGGTTGAGAGATCTATGTGTGGTTGTTCCTACTCGGTCACTATCTGCCTGAAGGCACCTGGATGAAGCATCCACCCAGTTGTCAAAATCTTGTCCAGGAGTGATAACGCGTCTGCAGGCATGTTGACCTTCCCTGGGATATGTCTGGCCACTAAGTTGTACTGCAGACTGTAGACTGTCTTCGAAGTGAGGAGTTTTCGAGTAGTGTTTCCCAGTGCCTGAAACCTCCTTTCCTCTTCCGCCTTCAGGACTACCAGTGCTTCCTCACACTTGCCATTGAAAGCTGATTGTCAAAATGGTTTTGACTTACCTCTGGCTATACCACCGAGCATAGCTGATGGAGGTGGTGATCCCATCGAAAGAGAGTTAAGAGAACAAGGCTTCAGAGTCGAACACCACTTTCGCAGCTTCTTCAAGAAAAGTAGACGAGATAGAGTGGTAGAGCTCATGGATGGTGGTTCTTGGTGTGTTGATACCGTAGCATTGCTGTCGCCCTTGCTGTCATTCGTGGCACGAGACATTAAGACTTGAGAAATATGCAAAGCGATTCTGGCCTTCTCATTGATTCAAATTGATGCATGCGTCACTTTTGATTGACAGACTGCATCTAGGTGTGATGTACTGCACACCTTTTATGCAAATATAGTTTACATGGACTACTCGAATGTTCTCACCACAGCACAGGAAACAAAAGCCGTCACTTCATTATTTACATGGCAGTTTTACTAACAGGCAAATGTACAGCCAATATAAATCGATAAAGTACATAGTATAAAAAGAAAGAAAACAGACACCTTATCTGATCTGAAAACGTGTCCTAGAGGACAATAATAGCTTAATTAGATAAATACATCATGAACTGTTTCACAGTGATTACACAGTTTCACATATAACTTGCCAATTTTAGATGTGCAATGGGATTGCTCTATGTCTCTTTTAGCAGTGAACAGTGATGGGTTATCAATCCAACACAAAAGTATTCTCATCAGACCCCTATATTGCCACACTGCCCTGTACATTTGTGTTGTTGTGGTCAAGGTTTTGGATGCAATTCTCCTGTCTGTCAGTTGAAACTAGGAGTCAATAGAAAACACACACTGTCTGAAGAGGATAGATAGGGTTTAAGATATGTTACGTGTACAGCCCGTATTTGTGCAAAGCTTTAGTTAACGATTGTAACTTGTTTCATTGTAAAGGCGTCATGGTAAGCATAAATCTCAGTATTTTGATGAACAGCAGCATATTATCCATGGTTTTAGTAAATACATACCGGTAAGTTTATAAGGTTCATGCTCAGGGCTCCACTTTTTGGGGTGTGAGTGTACTTACACATCACATTGCAAGTGGAGGTGTACTGAGAATTTTGAAGGAGTACTGACATGTTTTTGTGTGAGCGAGTTGATGTGGTTTGTCTGGACGATTCATCAATCACTATTTCCAACCATGTATTTGTATTTGAAGACGCGTGAGAAATAACTGAGCAACTGTGTGATGCGCGAAATGTCAGGTCCAACTGGATATAAAAAGGAACAGTGTAGTTTGTAGCCAATCGAAACATAGTGACGCATATCGTTGCATGGCAACGCAAGGGATTCCTACTTTCGGGGTTTCCTTGTGTCAAATCGTCTTTCGCAAAATTATTTATCCAAAATAGATTTCCATTTGCACAATACTCACGGAAATCAAATGCTAGACATACGAAGGCATTTATGTGCGTACACGATACGCTTGAAATCTTATATTATGTCGTACTTAATTGATTTTGAGCCGTACATTACGCCTGTACGCCCCTTATCTGTTGCCCTGATGCTCATAACAATCTAAACGATAAAACAAAATTTGTTTTGGCCCAACCACTTGTTTAGTATTTTAGTCGAAATTTGTATAAAAAACAATGCTTATTGGTTTGTTTCCTGTAAATCCTATACACTGGCAAAGTCAGTCCCAGTTACTGACATTCTCATCCATGCATGTTCTCATTTGTCATGCACATTGGCATCCTCGTCAGTTCTTTTCTTGCGTTCTCATCAGTCCTCCTGAAATGACAACACCAATGAGTTCTAAATATCTGCATTTTTAAAATCCTACATATTGGAGTTCTCATCTGTCTCACAGTTGGATTCTGCTGCAGCCACGGACTTCTTCTTGTCCAGCCTGGCTCCCCTCTCCCTGCTGGGCTCCTCCTTGTTGGCTGTGAGCTGTCTGTGGAGCGAGTTGATGTGTTCCAGCTGGGGACAACACACACCTGACATCTAACACATGTTGGTGAGTGAGTATAGTTTTACGCCGCACTCAGCAATATTCCAGCCATATGGCGGCGGCCTGTAAACAAATGGACCAGACAATCCAGGCATCAACAGCATGAACATCGATCTACACAATTGGGATATGATGACATGTGTCAACCCAGCCAGTGAGTCTGACCACCTGATCCCGTTAGTTGCCTCTTACAACAAGCATGGGCTACTGAAGATCAATTCTAACCCGGATCTTCACTGGCTAACACTTGTTGGCAAACAGAGAGGTATTATCCAGCCTACACAACCATGTGTCTTATCAATCACCCTAACATTTGTAGGGTAACTGAGAGGTATGAACCAGCCCCAACACAATTTGTCTTATCTGAGAGCCCCAAACCACCCTTTGGTCTTCCATGAATTATGTTTTGTGTAAAGCTTGTTATCTTGTTCAGTAAACATGCTACTGATTGTTTTGGACTGATTTCGGTGCAAACAGAAATGCAAACAATGATCAATATTTGATTGGCTTGGTGTACGCTTGATATGGCATGACATCAGCCAGAATTAATGCCTACTGCAATGTAATACTTATTAGTAATACCGGTTTCTTGAACATAATTGTGAATTAAGGGTATTTGGAATCATGCATTTCTATTTTAAATTTTCTGACACTGAATGATCACAGCAACAACTGTAGCAGTTTTTACAGACTGCTTAGGGCTGGCACACTCATGGGGGAAGACCTTGTTAACTGGAAATGCCTCCTACTTAACTGTCAAGGACTACACATTAATACAAAGCTGTCAGTTTTGCTGGTGATGGAATATTAACAAAATGTGTGAAATGGGTTTAGCTTTTGGTTTGCATTTATGGGATATGACAACAACTTTTACAATAGTAGTTTTATTTGTTGCTTAACACCGCACTCAACAATATTCTAACTATGTAATGGCAGTCTAGTAAATAATCATGTCTGGACCAGACAATCCAGTGATTGACATCATGAGCACTGATCTTGGGATATGACACCACGTGTCAACCAAGGTAGTGAGCCTGATGAAATAATCTAGTTAATCGCTTCTTACGACAAGCATGGCGTGCTGAAGACCTGTTCTGACCCAGATCTTCAAGGGTGGTTTTCGATAATAACATACCAATTTTGGACTTATCCTCACAAGCAGCTTCACATCATCAGGTAACACTGTGCTGCGCTTGGCATGCCTGGAAGAATAGTGAAGGTAAAAAGAGTTCAGTAAGGGAGTAACACTGTTTTGAACAGTACAATTACATCATGACTTGAGGGCTTTATCATTTATGTAGAAGGAAAGCCATAGGTAAGGTGTTGACAACCCTGATAATTTAACTACAGTCACTCTGGGATTCTAACTCAATATCATTTGTGGTATGCACAGCAAGTTGGGCGTTTCCCTGATTAGGGCTCCTTCATTCTCAGCTCCAAGGGCAACACACAACCATTAAACCAACACTGCCTTTTAGTGGACAAAATGACAGGTGGTCATATTACCATCTGATACTGTCAGGTACTCCAACCTTGTGTAAATTTAATCGACTGATGAGTAATGCTATAGCCAAGCCTACTCCTCTTGTTTTAAGAAATCTTGCCATGTTCATCTTCTATGCTAACAATCGTCGTCGCTGCAGCTTGAAGGCTGCCAATGTATAACGTTGTACCATGGGCCGATGACCTACATTCACATGAATAAAGACTATAAGACTTAATTCACTGTTGAGCGAAAATAAGGCATATTTCAGGAGTTCCTTGCCTGAACAGACACCACAGCTAAAATGTGCTTCAGTGTAAAGTTGGACCATAGCCATAAACTTTTTGTCAGGAGTCAGGTCTCTGAACACGGTTTCCTATCCATCTTGTCATTGAAACTATACTGACTTATTTCTCATATGAACATGATACTTTCAAACATGAACGTGCCAAAACAACAGAGATATTTATCACAATAAAGATGCTTATCATCTTTTTAAAAAAATATGCCCAAAAGTTTGATTAACACAGTGAATGTACCCTGTTTCTCCCTACCTTGCAAACGTGGTTAGAGCGTCCGCCCGGGAGAGCGGAAGGTCGCGTCATACCAAAAGACGTTAAAATATGGTACTTGTTGGTCCCTGCTTGGCGCTCGGCATTAATGGGAAAAACAAGGACTGGTCGGCTTGGAGTCAGTATAATGTGTCTGAGTGGGGTATCCATGCTTCACTGCGGCATGGTATCTCAGTGGGCTAGCACTATAAAACCAGCTTAAGTCTGGGCTAGTACAAGCAGCCGCACATACACACACACGCATGCACGTCGTCATATGAGCGAAATATTCTCAAGCACGACGTTAAATCCAATTTCACCTCACCTACCTTGCAAACATCTCCAGATCGTGTGAATAGGTCTCAAACTGTCTCCACGTTGTATGTGCAATGCAGGCCACCCCTTGCTTGTTGATGGAGACATCCAGGTCATCACCAACCTCCCGACATATCCTCACCACAGTATAATGTACTGCCGCTTTCAGCCTCTGAAGAATCTTGACACATGTGGGCGTCTCGGGGTATAAAAGTACAGTGAATACAAAAGTTTCATAGTGGGTGGGGTAGGTTAGGTAGTTGGGTGGGCGGCTGACGTAGTACCTACCTTTGTAGTCACATATGTCTACATATGTAGAAGCTTAGGCCCATGCGGACGTCGTGGCCGGGGAGACAGGACGATGTCACGCTTCTTGCATGCTCCGCCATCGTGAGGGGCAGAGATGTAAGGAGCGTGCGCATTGGCCGAAATCTGGATTTCCCCAGTCACGTGGCCCGATGTCGGCTATATAGGGTTGAGTTGAGTTGGGCTTTACGTCACATCGGCATTATTCCAGCCATGTAGTGACGAGAACAAGTCTGCATTAATATACATTGTAAGTACAAAGTGGTTTCATTTCAAAGGCACACATTCATTACATTGTCATTTTGGAACAGAGAAAGTCATAGCACTAAATTGAAAAGCAAGTAAATTCGTTAGTGACATTACACAGTTACAATTTATGGTATAGATCAACTTCCCTCAGGTAGTTCAGTATCAGATGAACGCTCACGCTGGAGAACAGATCTTTCAGATTGGTTGCGTGATAATGTGAGTCCCTTGCAGATGTAAAGTCCACACAGTCAAGCAGAATATGCTTGAGGGTGAAAGCCTCATCGCAGGAGAGACATATGGGGGGTCCATCCCCATCCGTTTTTAGCAGATAGTCATGTGTAAATCGACTGTGGCCAATACGACATCGTCGTAAAATTACTTCAACACGTCTTGACTGGCAACCCAAGTAGGTGTAACCGATTGTTGGCTTCAATTCATGGAGTTTGTTTCTTCCTACTTGAGTGTCCCACCTTTTTTGCATCAGGTCCCGAGTATAGCTTCTGATAGCGGGTTTGAAATCCCTGTACGGGATTAGCAGTGGAGATAGGGGCTTTTCAAGAGCTGCTTTTGCTGCAGCATCGGCCTTAGTGTTACCTGCTATGCCGACGTGACCCGGCAACCAGCAGAGGACGATGTCATATTGGCCAGTAGAAAGGTCGTTGTACAGTTCTAGTATGTCCAGGATGATTGGGTGACTTGAAGTCGCGTTTAGAAGTGCTTGAGCCTACCCTAGGTAGGGAATCGTCAGTCGTCCGATACCCGCATCGGGTAAGTGTTCAGCGACCTCGAGTCTTGCATCAAGACCAAATTAAGTTTCCACATATTGTTTATTGTTTTAGGGAATGTGGTGTTGATTTAGTGATAGCTTGGGAAGGGGGAGAAATAGCGGTTTATTCTCATAAAGTCACCAACTTGGTAAAACGCTAATCCCTACTGGGTGACTTCGTGCGAATTTCGCTAAATAGTCAATTATTGCAATTACGGGACATTATAGTCAGATTAAATTTACTAATCCGGATTAGGACCGAAGGTGAATGGGGGGCAACAGATAATTGGAACTCTTGTCTGGTAGCAGCAGGTAGACCAAGGGTAACATCTGACCGACGTCTGTAACAGCATGGATGGTGTACAGCTGGTAAAATATGTGAGGCGTCACATAAACGTACCATCTGCAAAGAAGGTGTCGGCTCGACACAACTTCTCCAAGTTGGATGTGGTGGCAAATCCCAGGATCTTGGCCTCGTCCCCATCTTCAAATGCCAGGAACTGTTTCCCGCCTTCTGTTGTTTGGTACTGCTCAGGGATTATTAGGTCACGGCGATGGGATGGTAGAGGAGGAAATGACTTCTTCCTTGCTCTATACAGGGTGTCCTTCTTCATATGAAACGTAGGTAAGTTGCCAACAAGGGTGGCGTGTTCCGGTGTCCTGTCATCACCCCGCATACTCTCTACTTCTTCCTGGAACAGCTGCGGCAGAGGTCTGACAGTGGCATTGACTTTTCTTTTAGTGTCTCCATGGTCTCTCTCACCTTGATGTCGGTTTCCACTGGTGGGTGGTTGTGGTTCTGAGAGGGTCTGGTGAGGATATCACTGATGGTGGTCATGGTCATATGGCAATCCTTGGTCGTACACTTCCATACTAAGGTTTCATCACGTTTCCTTTTGTCGACTCTGTACATGAAACCAGCCGAATAAAGATATCTCTCGAAGTTGGGATGAACTTTTGCCATGGTAGGACTTAGTGACGAAAGTGGTCCGTACCATCTATTTATATTTGTCATAAAATTGTTGAACAGAATTCACTAATAAATGTCATGTAATTTACAGTTAACCGTTAAGCTCATTAGCGTCTCTCGCTCGACTGACCAACTGACTAATCCGTTAATCCCTAATCCGTTAATCCTGATTGGATTAGAAACTTCAAAGCAAAATCGCCAGTGACTTAGTGCAAATAGTGTTCCCCCTACTGGTGACTTCATGAGAAGACACCGTAAATATATGTTCAATTGTTTCGGGTAGTTTGCATTGTGCATAGTCCATCTGGGTGTCTATTTTGTTTGTATAATGCGTGGTTTAAGTTTGTTATGGCGGTGATTAGTCTAGTGATTAGTATGTCTATGTGTTTGTTGTTTGAGTAGGTGAGGGTTTTCGTAATAGGTTTGGTTATGATGGCTTTAACCCGGATGGATTTGTTTGTATTGAACTTGTGTTGGTAGTTTTGGTTGAGTGTGTGAGATTTAATGAGTTGTTTGATTTCTTTTTTGGATGTGTGGAATTGTATGGGTGGAGAGTTTTGAGTGCTGTGTCTGCTGTATTATTTCCTTGGTTGTGAGTGTGAGCTGGTATCAACAATAAAGTTATGTTTTTATTAAGTTGATGTAATGAGTGAATCTGTATAATAATGTTGTGTAATAGGTCGTTACGTGATTTCGAGTGCTTGTTTTGGAGTTGTTTGACGGCGCTGAGGGAATCTGTGAGTATTAAGATGTTGGTGTGGTGCATAGTGGGAATTAGGTGGAGTGCAGTTAAGATGGCTAGTGCCTAGGGCTTGCTTAAGGGCTTTATACTGTATGGAATTAATTTTTTGTAGGTTGGATGGGGAAAGGGAGCGGAGGACCGGAGCCACCTAGTCCAGTCTAGACTGTATAAGAGTTTTGTATATGTTAATAAGTGTTTGTTTGTCGGCTCCCCAGTTGGTACCACTGATAGCTCGCTTGGAAAATGACGAACAATGTATTTGAATATTCTCTCATCGTCAATGATGACATCACTAGTGCAGAGTTTGGAGCATACATATTCAGTGTCGAATATAATGACAGAAGACAAGATTTCATGGTTCTTTCGTCCATACCGGGTAGAAAAATTTCAATTCATTTATGGAATTATGAAGTGTTCGAAATTTGTTGAATCTCTACGAACTACAAACTGTAAACTTACAAGAAGTATAATTCAATGCAATGTTTACAATGGTATGATTACGTCTGTGACATGTATTTTAGTGCACTTTCAGATACTCCAGAAACGAGTCTTCCTCTGGTTGTTGGTTCTTCAGTCGCGTCTGTGATTGTAACTCTGGGTATAATTGCTGGTCTGATACTTTCACGACTCAACCGGCTCAGAGGTGAGATACATGTTATTTTAAATATCTTTAACTGAAGGTTTAATTTGTTTACGCTGCTGTCTTTGCTTTAGTCTTACGTTGCCATTATTGATACATATTGAAAAATGTGTCGATTTATCAAGTATGCACTATATAGATGAATTTTAGAACATCGTGTACATACCCCCAACATTGATTTCGTGTTTAAAGTATCTTCAAGCATCTTGCATCAAACGCTACGGTTATTATTTCTCTCATTTTTCAGACTACTGGCACTTAAGGCAAGTAGTATCTCTTTATTCTTCTTTTGCTGGAACATGTCATATATATTAACATGTGATCATGTTTATACATACATTAAAGAGCGTTATGTTAACCCCAGTATACTTCACAGGTTTCGATCGTACATCACACCCATGCAGAACATGCCAGAACATATCGATGATGGAGAGTATGCTGAAATCGATGATGCTGATTTAACTGGACTGGGCGCAGGCAACATTGTGAACCTGTTGTGGATGTCCCGGATGATAACAACATGCGCAGGCGGGAGAGGCAGCAGATGGAAGGTGAGGATGATGACTATGAAGAGGTGAGACCACTGAAAGCTACTAACAGAGAGGAACCGACGTCAGAGCAAGAAAGGGGAGCTGGAATGCAGCAGTCTGACAAGAATATTAAGGATGACATTGAGGAGGACATGATCATGGCATTACGTGCCTCCCGTACTGATTCAGAACCTAGGATTGCTGTTGTTGGTTGGTCGGCTGAAGGAGGAGAATCTGGAAATAGGGCAGCAGCGACTATAAATCTGTTTGCGGAAACAATCTTCACGACTCAAGAACCAGATGAAACAGACACTGACAAGTTACCCACGGTCAGTGGAATGTATGCTGGAATAGATGGGATAACAGCAATTAAGGCAGAAGAAGATGATCCCTTGGAGGAAGGAAGAGAGGATTATGTTGAAAGTGAACCTCTTGATTTGCCTTGCAACAGATATGAGTGAGTGATGCCGCACCAACCTCGAGATACTTACACAGCCTTGGACAATGATGATGATATTACGCATGATAAGTATTCAAATATGTGTCACAAGTACTGTGTAAAACCCCTAAAAAGAGGGACAATTACCCAAACAAATTTCAAATATGACAACACTAGTAATTTGTCATCGGCAATGCGCAATGTAAACACACTTCCGTCAGTGTACGTCCTGTGTATGGCCGTCTTGTTGAAACATCTACGGTACACAGTCGATTCCTGTTGGTCTCTGTTGACACTCTACCACTGAAGAACTGCCTTCTTGTGGAGGTTGAACTTACACATTTGTTGCGGAGATGACTGCCCTGATTTGCCCATAATCTTAGTGAGACGTCACACGTGGCGACCCAGGCCTTGGTCGATTGCAGCGATGCCCGTATGTTGCTCAAGGGTCTTCAGACTGTGTATTGTATGACGACTTCAGCCCAGGGATCGTGCAACTGCTTGAGCGGATCGTCCAGCATTAGCCCTGCTCATGGCATTCTCACGCTTATGATTTGTGTCTCGAAGTATATTTTGAATTTAATTTCTGATTAAACTTGTAATATTAGATGCGATTTCCTGTTTAGCAATGTCTGTGCGCTTGCATTGACCATTGCATTAGTTGCTACGTTGCCCAAATGACGCGCTGCAAGTGATTATTTTGCTTCATGCTTTTATTTTACATCATGGATAAATTATGTACCTCAGCAGCCTACATTTTAATTGCCGTGTGTATAGCACAACATGACTACAAATTAATTAATACCAATAATATGGGTGTCAGGTTTCTAATGTTGTTGAACGAAATTTGCTCTGACATTCAGATCAGCCCGAAGTGTTTAACCCTGTTGGTGTACCTGCTTAGCTGTCACTACTTGACTTATAAAGCATAATGTTTGCGCATTATTTACATGGAGCAAATGTGTGCATTTTGCGTTAATTGTACATATTGCGAGGAGTATAAACCAACTATCACTTGTATGAAAGAATTGTTTACGTTTTGTGAGCATCCATGGAAGGACAACGCTCTCACATTGTTTAAAATCGCGTAAGAAATCAATGGCACCTGTACCTCGATAAACCTGCGTCACGTTTGTGGAGCTGAGGCATGACGGGTACTCTGCCATGTGTTACAAGTACTTCGTGTGAATATGTATGAGATGGGTACACACACGTGTATCACTGTGTCTTTTTGTAATGAGTGCTTTGCTATAAGGCCCAGACAGTTAATCATTTGTATATTAACCTGTAATGGTGTCAGTATATATTTAATTTATATGTTTGTGTTGGTTTATTATAAACTGTATAAAATGTACACAGCTTAATGCTAAATACCGATTGTATTGATGCTATTGTGGTATAACCAGCAATTAGCAGTGTGTCGCTTGTTACAAGCACTTAAAAAGATCAGGAGAGGAGAATGCATACAGTTATCTCTCCGTCTTTTTTTGTAGATCGAATGCTTTTAGCTATTTATGCTGTCAGTATATATTTTATATATATGTTAGTGTTGATTTATTATAAACTGTATAAAATTTACACAGATTATGTGCCACATACTGATCGTATTGATGCCATTGTGGTACAACCAGCAATTATCAGTTTGCGGTTTGTTACAAGCACTTAGAAAGATCAGTAGAGAAGAATGCATACAGTTATCTCTCCGTATTTTTTGTAGACCGGGTGCTTTGTGCTATTTGTTTAGGTATATTGCAGATGTTTTATTTCTTCAAATATTAATTAGGTTAGCATTAATTACAACTCTTCATGTATGTGTCTTAACATAATGGAAATATGCTACTAAACCCTGAAAGCTGTTATAAGTAAACTGTACAAATTGTCTATAATACTCTACATTATGATTTTTTTACTGTCAATTGTCAACAGATTTTTTTCTAGTCTAATACTGGTAGCAAATACACTGTATATATTTCTTGAGATGAATTACTGTAAATTTTCGACAGGTTTTTATAACCTTAACATATTCCTTGCTATTATACAAATTGTTCTCAATTACATGGAACGTGGTATTCCGCATTCATGATCCGGAGCGTTACGTGTGTATCACTGACACTCAAATGTTCACACGAACTGTTCAGCATGGTACTCGGGGCAAGCTCTCGATAATCTGAGTTTGTGAAAGAAGTATAAGCTTAATTCAGAAAATATTACAACAATGTAGTGAAAATTTCACTTACTCATTATTCGTCATAAACACGCCGGCGATTTTGATTAGTGTAAAATATCGTTTTACTATTTTTTTACAGATATTTGTACATATAACTTGTACATATAATGACATTTATTTGATAAGATTATTACGTGATAGTTCCCACATAGAAGTACCACAAAGCCTTAAATAATCAGTGGGAGAATGACTTTGGTCTCAAGTTAAACATTCTGTTTCCACTTTAGACGACTGGGAAACACTTGTAACGCTGCGAGTACGGGTCTGTTTCATGATGAGAAAGATTTCTGTTTGCATTTACATTACATTTAGCATTTGTTTCAGCTTCTTTTCAACTATTTATTATGAATAAATAAACTAAACGGCTTTTTTGTCTGCGTTTCTGTGTCAAAGAAATTTGAATCTGAATCTTGCTTGTCACAAGCAATTCAGAATGTGTATTTTGTCTACGACACTGCAGCAATATAAAACACGTGTACTCACGCTAGTCACGTGTACGCCCAGGCTACCCCCATGTGTACACTCATGGTACTCACGAGAATACTCAAGCTACGTACATGTACACTCAAGCTACGTACATGTACACTCAAGCTACTCACGTGTACACTCAAGTTACTCACGTGTACACTCAAGCTTTATACCCACGAGTACACTCAAGCTACGTATATGTACGCTCTAGTTACTCGCGTGTACACTGAAGTTACTTACGTCTACACTCAAAATAATCACGTGTGCACTCAAGTTACTCACGTGTACACTGAAGTTACGTACATGTACACTCATGCTACTCACGTGTACACTCAAGTTACTCACGTGTACAGTCAAGCTGCTCACATGTACACTCAAGCTACGTATATGTACGCTCTAGTTACTCGCGTGTACACTCAAGCTACTCACGTGTACACTCAAGCTACTCACGTGTACACTCAAGGTACTCACGTGTACACTGAAGCTACACACGTGTCACACTCAAGCTACTCACGTGTACACTCAAGTTACTAACGTGTACACTCAAGCTACTCACGTGTACACTCAAGCCACGTACATGTACACTCAAGCTACTCACGTGTACACTCATGCTACTCGCGTGTACACTCAAGTTACTTACGTGTACACTCAAGCTACGTACATGTACACTCAAGTTACTCACGTGTACACTCAAGTTACTCACGTGTACACTCAAGCCACGTACATGTACACTCAGGCTACTCACGTGTACACTCAAGCTACGTACATGTACACTCAAGCTACTCACGTGTACACTCATGCTACTCGCGTGTACACTCAAGTTACTTACGTGTACACTCAAGCTTCGTACATGTACACCCAGGCTACACGCGTGTACACTCAAGTTACTCACGTGTACACTCAAGCTACGTACATGTACACTCAAGCTACTCACGTGTACACTCAAGTTACTCACGTATACTCAAGCTACTCACATGTACCCTCAATCTACACACATTTACACTCAAGCTACTCACGTGTACACTGAAGGTAAACACGCAAGCTACGTACATTTACACTCAGGCTACTCACGTGAACACTCAAGTTACTCACGTGTACACTCAAGCTTCCCACGAGTACACTCAAGCTACTCACATGTACACTCAAGCTACTCACGTGTACACCCAAGTTACTCACGTATACTCAAGCTACTCGCATGTACCCTCAATCTACACACATTTACACTCAAGCTACTCACGTGTACACTGAAGGTAAACACTCAAGCTACGTACATGTACACTCAGGCTACTCACATGTACACTCAAGCTACTCACGTGTACACTCAAGTTACTCACATGTACACTCAAGCTACTCACGTGTACACTCACGCTACTCACGTGTACCCTCAAGTTACTCACGTGTACACTCAAGTTACTCACGTGTACACTCAAGCTACTCACATGTACACTCAAGTTACTCACGTGTACACTCAAGCTACTCTTGACTGTGTAGAATATTCCATCACAAGGGATATCTATTCGGGTAAACACTATGAAGGATCTTTTTAGTAATATAAGTTCTCATTTAATTATTGCCTTTTAAAAAAATTAGACTTGCTAACTGATTTGTAAATAGATATATATTTTATTATTGGTAGTTTATATTAGTAACTGAGATTGTTAGTGGCTGTACCCTCAAAAGGGGTTGAAGTAGTGTAAAATTATTGTCCACCTGAGAGGGTACGTAAGTCCCAAAATGTTCAAAGTCCATTTAAACTTGCCAGGATTTTTAAACGTAGCATTCTTGTCATTTTAATCTTGGCTAACATTTCTTACAATCGCCAGCAGCTGAAGGGATTGTGTAAATCCAACTAGGGTCCATGTAGGTAGCAAAAGTAATGTAAGTCCCCATGGTCCCTAGTATGGTGATCTCCCTTCAGTTGTTTGCGATCTCTAGCCACTTTTTTATATTGTGCTGTCCAAATAGTACTATTTGTTTTAACTTTCTACGCTAGTTTTACTTCAAATTGTGATATTCTAGTTGTTTTACTGTCCTTCGTCGGCCGTTTTTTTTATAATATACATATATTTCCTTTCAATATCAAATATTCTCGTCACAATATGGCTGAAATATTGGCGATGTGACGTTAAATATTTACTCACCCACACACTCAGTCAAGCTACTCACGTGTACACTCAAGCAACTCACGTGTACACTCAAGCTACGTACATGTACACTCAAGCTACCGACGTGTACACTCAAGCTACTTACGTGTACACTCAAGCTACTTACGTGTACACTCAAGCTACTCACGTGTACACTCAAGCTACCGACGTGTATACTCAAGCTACCGATGTGCACACTCAAGCTACGTACATGTACACTCAAGCTACCGACGTGTACACTCAAGCTACTTACGTGTACACTCAAGCTACTTACGTGTACACTCAAGCTACTCACGTGTACACTCAAGCTACTCACGTGTACAATCAAGCTACCGATGTGTACACTCAAGCTACTTACGTGTACTCTCAAGCTACTTACTTGTACTCTCAAGCCACTTACGTGTACACTCAAGCTACTTACGTGTACTCTCAACCTACTTACGAGTACACTCAAAATACTCACGTGTACACTCAAGCTACGTACATGTACACTCAAGCTACCGACGTGTACACTCAAGCTACTCACGTGTACACTCAGGCTACTGACGTGTACACTCAAGTTACTTACGTGTACTCTCAAGCTACTTAAGGGGAACTCTCAAGCTACGTACATGTACACTCAAGCTACTCACGTGTACACTCAAGCTACCGACGTGTACTCTCAAGCTACTTACGTGTGCTCTCAAGCTACTTACGAGTACTCTCAAGCTACTTACGTGTACACCCAAGCTACTTAGGTGTACACTCAAGCAACTCACGTGTACACTCAAGCTACGTACATGTACACTCAAGCTACCGACGTGTACACTCAAGCTACTTACGTGTACACTCAAGCTACTTACGTGTACACTCAAGCTACTCACGTGTACACTCAAGCTACCGACGTGTATACTCAAGCTACCGATGTGCACACTCAAGCTACGTACATGTACACTCAAGCTACCGACGTGTACACTCAAGCTACTTACGTGTACACTCAAGCTACTTACGTGTACACTCAAGCTACTCACGTGTACACTCAAGCTACTCACGTGTGCAATCAAGCTACCGATGTGTACACTCAAGCTACTTACGTGTACTCTCAAGCTACTTACTTGTACTCTCAAGCTACTTACGTGTACACTCAAGCTACTTACGTGTACTCTCAACCTACTTACGAGTACACTCAAAATACTCACGTGTACACTCAAGCTACGTACATGTACACTCAAGCTACCGTGTACACTCAAGCTACTCACGTGTACACTCAGGCTACTGACGTGTACACTCAAGTTACTTACGTGTACTCTCAAGCTACTTAAGGGGAACTCTCAAGCTACGTACATGTACACTCAAGCTACTCACGTGTACACTCAAGCTACCGACGTGTACTCTCAAGCTACTTACGTGTGCTCTCAAGCTACTTACGAGTACTCTCAAGCTACTTACGTGTACACTCAAGCTACGTACATGTACACTCAAGCTACCGACGTGTACACTTAACCTACTTACGTGTACACCCAAGCTACTTAGGTGTACTCTCAAGCCACTACTTACGTGTACACTCAAGTTACTCACGTGTACACGCAAGCTACTTACGTGTACTCTCAAGCTACTTACGTGTACTCTCAAGCTACCGACGTGTACACTCAAGCTACTCACGTGTACACTCAAGCTACTCACGTGTACAATCAACCTACTTACGTGTACTCCCAAGCTACTTACGTGTACACTCAAGCTACTCACGTGTACACTAAAGCTACGAACATGTACACTCAAGATTCCAACGTGTACACTCAAGCTACCGACGTGTACTCTCAAGCTACTTACGTGTACTCTCAAGCTACTTACGTGTTCTCTCAAGCTACCAACGTGTACACTCAAGCTACTTTCGTGTACACCCAAGCTACTTACGTGTACTCTCAAGCTACTTACGCGTACACTCAAGCTACCGACGTGTACTCTCAAGCTACTTACGTGTACTCTCAAGCTACTTACGTGTACTCTCAAGCTACTTACGTGTACACTCAAGCTACTTACGTGTACTCTCAAGCTACCGACGTGTACACTCAAGCTACTTACGCGTACACTCAAGCTACCGACGTGTACTCTCAAGCTACTTACGTGTACTCTCAAGCTACTTACGTGTACACTCAAGCTACTTACGTGTACACTCAAGCTACGTACATGTACACTCAAGCTACCGACGTGTACACTTAAGCTATTTACGTGTACACCCAAGCTACTTAGGTGTACTCTCAAGCCACTTACGTGTACACTCAAGCTACCTACGTGTACACTCAAGTTACTCACGTGTACACGCAAGCTACTTACGTGTACACTCAAGCTACTTACGTGTACTCTCAAGCTACCAACGTGTACACTCAAGCTACTCACGTGTACTCTCAAGCTACTCACGTGTACAATCAACCTACTTACGTGTACTCCCAAGCTACTTACGTGTACACTCAAGCTACTCACGTGTACACTAAAGCTACGAACATGTACACTCAAGATTCGAACGTGTACACTCAAGCTACCGACGTGTACTCTCAAGCTACTTACGTGTACTCTCAAGCTACTTACGTGTTCTCTCAAGCTACCAACGTGTACACTCAAGCTACTTTCGTGTACACCAAAGCTACTTACGTGTACTCTCAAGCTACTTACGTGTACACTCAAGCTACCGACGTGTACACTCAAGCTACTTACGTGTACTCTCAAGCTACTTACGTGTACTCTCAAGCTACTTACGTGTACTCTCAAGCTACTTAC